TTTCATTTTTTGGTATTTTCACCATTAATTACACATTTAATTATGCAAACCATAATTTACATCCAATTTTTCAACGAAGAACAGTGAAATAATGAATATACCCTCCTATTTAAATAAAAAATATTTTTTTAATTTCTAATTTTTTAATAATTTATTTGAGACTAGTTTGCACTTTTTTTAAAAAAATTAATTTTTTAATAATTTATTGTGGACTTGTTTGCACTTTTTAAAAAAATTGGGACTATGGTTACACTTAAAAAATAGGATGGTATATTCGTCATTTCATAATTTTATATTGAGAAAATATATAGAAATGATGGTTTGCGCAATTAAATGTGTCTTTATGGTGAAAATGTCAAAAAAAAAAAAAGGTAGAGACATTATATGCTAATTACCCTTTTAATAATTTATTTGTGACTTATTTGCGCTTTTTTAAAAAAAATTGGAACTGTAATTGCAATTATTTTTTTTTCTTGTTTTATTTAAAGAAAAGTATATATTCATCATTTCATAATTTTTAATTGAGAAAATAGGTGAAAATGACCTTTTGCACAATGAAATGTGGAAATAAAGGTGAAAATGCTAAAAAATGAAAGATATGGATGTTTTCCACAATAACAATGAATGGTGGGGACATTATGCGTTAATTACTCAAAATAAAATTGGAAAATGCTAAAATTATCCTACAAAACAATCTTATAAGAATACGATACGATCGCATTTACCCGTTAAACTAGAAAATCAATAATCAATTCAAAATACAGTTGGATCATTTGTACAAAATTAAATATTTTCCAGCTAATTATTTCCGAAAAATAATTTTTTTTATTTGTTTCCAATTATATGATCATTGACCTTTTCTATTTATGGTAAAGTCTTCGCCAATTTTAAAAATATATAGGTTACGAGAACCACTAGATCGATCCACATTCGCAATCAATAAAAAAAAATATTTCCACTACAAAAAATAACTGATTTTGCGACAAAAAAATGTTGTCCCAAAAATTAAGATTTTGTTGCAGAAGTAATTTAGCGACGACACTATATTTGTTGCGGGTATTATTGCGCTATATGAGTCACGGAGTGCATTTTGCAACGACTATCGACCATTTATCGCGTTAACAAAATCGCGACACTATTTGTTTGATGTGTAAAATATGGAATAGCAACACAATATTTATAGCCATGATATCGTCGCCATATATATATGTCGCAAAAAATTCAAAGGGCGACAAGTCAATTTGTCACAACAAATATTCCAATAAAGGTTTACAAGAAATATGTTTATTGCGAATGTTGAGTCACAGAATGTATTCTGCGATAAGTTCCGGCCATTCATCGCATTAACAAAATCGTACAATTATTAAAATATAAATGATATCAAAATAGATTTTAAAAAAATCATATTAGTGTCAACCAAATAAATATGGAAAACACTCCTTGTACCAGGGGGGTGTACAACCCCCCCTACCGGCCCCCTCACATGAGGGGGGGCCCACATTAGCAGTGCTCAATAAATATAGACCAAGATACTATTTACAAATTAACCTGGTTATCTCAAAACCAAAATAAATAAAAATAAAGTGTAATACGAGTAATTTCAAGGTTGAACTACTTAGGATCGTTCACCAAACTTGAAAAGTAGAAAATAGAACTGTAAATATGGAAGAAATAACAAAAACCTCACGGGACACCCAAATTCCACAATAATATTTGAGTAATTGTTACAGTACAAGATCAACAATCATCACAATAAGCAATCAAATATATCTCAATAGTTAGTTGATCTAACCTTAAATGTCAATAAAAAATCTTATCAACTCTCGGTAGATGC